TTGGCTATACTATTGCAAAATGTGCTGCCATGTGGTGCTGAAGTCGAGCTATTACTACAAATAGCCAAGTGAGAAAAGGGGCCGTGAAGGTCAGATTAAATCGACCTGTTGCACCATTGGGTATATCGAACGCTCCTGCGTTGCGATTAGCCCAATGGATGTGATTTTCCAATATTATTATGCGTTCAAACTTTTAAGGTATTTCGTCTGAAATAAGTATATGTATATTGCATTTCTGTAGAACAATTCGCACCCATTTTGAAATTGCCACCAACTATACTGTAAAGCTTCTAGGACATTCACTATAGAACCGGGTTGTTGCCACCAGGGAGTGAAGAGGAAAAAATTTATTTCGCTTTGCGAATAACCGTGCTATAAAATGCCGCACAACTGGAGAATTTCAAGAACTTCTTCACGGATATAACACTTTCCTTAGGTTATTTAAAGCGGCAAATGACCACCAAACCATAATCTTAGCAGAAGAATGTGCCTATGAAAATTGTAAACGTGAATTGTTGGTGAAAATCTTGGACCAAAAAGTTTCAATAAAATATATAAAAATTTTGGGCTGGACGAAGTTCGCGGGGTCTGCTAGTATGCTAATATATGCTAAAAAGCTACTTACGTACTAAATTTGAAGCAAATCGGACTATAATAAGATTTTTTCGAATAGACCGGTTCCTGGTCTACCTACCCGAAAAAAAGTAAAATTTTTTTAGCCTAAAATATGGTGGTTACCGAAAGCTATTTGTATACCAAATTTCATGAACATCTGACAAGCCGTTCGCGAGATTACCTGTTAAAAAAAAGGGACTTCTCTTTATATAATTAGTATAGATATAGATAGATAGATAAATGGTGGTCTGGACACACAACATTGCAAGTTGATAAAAGCGTTGTAAAAAATAGCCAACACTTTCTAAAATCTCGCGTCCACTTTTATATTTGGGTCACTGTGTTTTTTCCAAAGAAGGATGTGGCGAGGACTTTCTTTATACAATTTTTGTTATGAGTTGCTTAAATTTGAGTGCGAAGTTTTATTCGCAACACTTAGAAAATAACGAAAGAGAATAAAAGAGCACGAATATCGTTGTGAAGCAAAACTCTATGGGTAGACAAAACCTGTGAATAATTGTATCATCCCTGCAAACCATTTTTTCAGAGTATTCTGCATTGTAAAGAGATTTTAAAGAATTCGTTAAGATTTAATTCGATTTTTTGCCGAATTTTCTAAAATGAAATAAATTACGCACACTTCTATTCTTTTACGAAATTTCGGAAGAAAATCTGTGAAGCAACGAAAATAATGGTGCTATGTGAAGAATATCTTTCAGAATTTTTCCAGAATTTTCTTTATTTTTCGTACAGAGATTTCTTTACGAGTTCGTGTCAACCACTTCATATAGTTTTCTTTGAAAATTCGTAAAAAAATCGTTACGGAAATGAGATACTGCTAACGATTTCCTTAAGATTTCGGGAACTTTGGTTTGCAGGGATGGTGCCAACATACTTCATTGTTGCTTATTATAGCTCTGAGACAAGCATGTGAGAGAGTGAGTACGACTTTAAAAACAGGGGTTTCGAATATATAGATATCAAAATACAATTCTACTACAGTCGACGTCCAGTAATACGAAAGCTCCTTCATACGAATGTCCAATAATACGAATGCAGTGTTTTTTACACTAATTGTTCTATAATACGAATAAGGCATAATTTTACCGTTCGATAATACGAAACAACTTTTTTTCTCTCAGTAGGCTTTGCCTTTTTCTTTTTCAATCGTTTTTTTTAAGTTGCAAATCATATTTCTGGCGTTAGCAGTAGGCTTTGCTGTTTTTGATTTGTTTCTTTTTCAATTGCTATTTTTGCAAGTTGCAAATCATATTTCTAGCGTAAGCAGTAGGCTTTGATTTCTTGATTGCTTTTTTCAGCCGTTTTTTTTAAGTTGTGGCGTTAGCATCATTTTTCCGCTGATTTATTGTGAAAAGTTAAACAGCAAAATGAAAACAAAAAAACGAATTTCGCTGTACGACAATATGAATATACTCGCGGATTGCGATAAAGGAAAGTCTTTATTGTACATTTCAAGCAATTTTGGCTTGTCTAAATCAACAATTTGCACAATAAAAAAACAAAAAGCCCAAATATTAGCCAGCACTACAAGTTCTGCGAAACGTCGCTTCACAATGAAGACCGGAGAATTCGTTAAAATGGAAGATGTACTGCATCAGTGGTTTTTAACGAAAATGTCTAATTCCAGTAGGAGCTATGCAACTGAAATGTAAAGCGCGAGTTGCATAAGAAATTGTACAATAACACATTTTTTGCGAGTGATGGTTGGCTTACAAAATTTAAAAAACGATATGGAATCAGACTGCTGAAGGAATCTGGTGAAAAATTATCCTCTAGCAAAGAACTTGTAGCCCCATTCATTAAAGAGCTATCGAGTGTGATAGAGAAACATAATCTCTCACATGAAGCAGTGTTTAATGCGGACGAATCTGGACTTTATTGGAAAATGCTACCAGACAAGACATATGTCCATTCGGAAGAGAAATGTGCACCAGGAAGAAAAGTGTCAAAGGAAAGTGTTTATTCCAAATAAACACATCCCTGCATTATGCTCCTGAACTCCGAAAAGCGAAGGAAGGATAATGCAGGAATGAAAAACTGCGCCAACTTAACTCCAAGAAAGTCAGTTTTTATAAAACTACCCGCGCATCAACACGCAAGCGATAGCAGCCTCAATAGAAGACAACAACAACAATCAATAACATATACAACACGGAAGACATAAAGTTAAACAGGTCAATATAAATAAAACCTAACTAACTCAAATACAATAAATACACACATAACACAATTAACCTCATTGTACATATACCCACACATATATTGTATTTTTTACACACCACCCACTATATCTAAACACACTGAAGTGTTACCCTTTGAATTCTAAATTAAAGATTATTGTTTATAACGATTAAATAAGACCCACTTCTTTTCTTTATTCGGAGTCGGCCACGAATTGTCGACATACCCCGACATTTTGGTCCTTCGAGCCGCGAACTCGATAAAGGAAATTAAACACACAAATCAAAAATTCATCGTTGGAGAATTCACCCAGCATTCTACCCAGCAACAATAAAAAAAAATAAAACATTGAGGGAATAAAATAGAGCAAATCACTTCAGCTAAGTACCTACATACATACAAAAACAAGGAGGGAAATCCAACACATCAGCACACTTTGAAAACAGACCCATTGCTGAAACTACTGTAAGTGCGACCCAAAATATTTCTATTAAATCTTAATAAAAGTGCAAATCAGAATCCTATAGGGCTAAATTCAAATTTTTGTCACTATTTGCTTTGCTAAATTCTGCTTTGACTTGTTTAATACATACTCGTACATACATAAATATTTACTTACCCGAAGTCGTGCAGTAACCCATCAGCAGCCATTTTAGCCGTTTTCCGGCTAGATTTAGCCGGTTTTGATAGCAACTAGCCGGAGAAAATTCGATCTAGCCGGCAGCCGATTTGTTAGCCGGTTTGTAAAAAAAAGTTAGCCGTTTTTAGCCGATTTTACTATTTGCCTAATTTTCAGGTGCAAAAAGTAAACAAGTTGTTCGAAAGCAATAATGCAGACCCAATGAAGATTTTTAATGAACTCAATGTTTTACTTTCGCATCTATGCTCCCTAGTGGTTATTAGCGCGGACACCTTTGATCCTATATGCTCCCCGTTGGAACCATACCTTGCTCCATTTCCTCAGTTTTATCACAGTTTTGAAGAGTATTTAAAAACAAAAGTAAGCACAAACGCTTTTGACCACGAAGCCGAGAAAATAATTCGAGAAAATGGTCGCTATTTTATTATCACTTTAATAAAGGAATTACGCCAACGCCTCCCTACAAATATTGCCACACTAAAAAAAATTGACTTTTTTCGATTGGAAATGCATTAAGAGTAATTAAACCAAACACAAAGCAACAAAAACACAAATATAATGTCGACGAAATAACATCCATAGAGATGCAATGGCAACGGTTAACGTTACATACCTGGAGTAATTTAGACTCAACTGTAAAATTTTGGGCCGAAGTTTATCAATTTCGAAATGCCCTAGGAGAAAACCCTTTTGCTGACCTTTCCAACCTAGTTTTTAGTTTTCTTGTTTTGCCTATAAGTAATGCAGAAGTAGAGCGAATATTTAGTTCAATGAATATAATAAAAACTAAGCAAAGAAATCCAATGTGCGTTAAAACGTTACACGCTATTTTATATATAAGATACGGTTTAAAACGTGAAGAAAAATGCTGCCATAATTTTACTGTAGATGACGATCTCTTAAAATTAATGAATTCAGGTGATATATACAATAGCGATTCATTTGATGATGAGGAATATACACTCGATATAAATTAATGGTGTTAACTAGTCTTCCGTTTCTTGCGATTTATTTAAATAAAGCATGTGAATTTTCACTAAAACATTTTAGCCGTTTTTTGCCAGAGTCTATGTGAAATTTCACTAAAACATTTTAGCCGTTTTTAGCCGCTTTTTTTTGCCAATCTAGCCGGTCGGCCCAAAAAGTTCTGGCAACACTGCCCATCAGTTGCTCTGCCGACGGTAAATACTGTATATACATACCCGTGCTTACATACACACATTCATATAACAACCCATTCCGCCTAACAATTTGTTGGTATAGCATCAACGGTTAGCCCAACTTGTACCAATTTAAAAGAAATTTTCCAATACAAGAGGTATTTGAAAAACTCGGCTTCACATTGGCAGATACCCAATTCCACAAACCCAGACCCGTGGATATATTAATTGGTAGTGATCTTTACCCTAAAAATATACTCGGTGGAGTTAAACGAGATATTTTAGGTTCACTCTTAGCCCAAGAGACAGAATTTGGATGGATTTTATCTGGTCCTGTACCCAGACCGTCTCAATCAACAAACTTAGTTTAATTTTACAATAAAATGACCCCAGATAATCTACTCACTCGTTTTTGGGAGGTGGAAGAAGTTCCCAGAAAACCCTTGGCCTCTCCATCAGATATTCTCTGCGAAGAAAACTACCAAAGAACGACACGTAGGAACCCAAATGGACGCTATGTAGTAACTCTACCCTTCAAGGACCCCGAAAACATCGACATTGGAAGTTCAAGACACATACCGCTAGCACAATACCTTAGAAATGAAAAGTCTTTACTTAGAAAACCTGAGGTAAAAGCGGAATATGACAAGGCAATTACCGAATATTTGGAACTCTGTCACATGAAGAAGGTCGAATATAATCCCGCGGATAAAACGACCCCATATTACTTACCACATCATGCGGTCATTAAACCTGATCGCATCACAACAAAACTTCGCGTGGTATTTAATGCTTCGAACCCCACTTCGAATCGAAAGAGCCTTAATGACGTTCTACACATTGGACCCACCTTACAAAAAGACTTAGTCATTCTAATTGTAAAATGGAGACTCTTTCGATTTGTTTTCAACGCGGATATTCAAAAAATGTACCGACAAATCCTCGTAGACCCAAAACACACCCCGTTCCAAAGAATCCTCTTTAGAAAATCCATTGAGGACCCAATAGAAGACTTTGAGCTTCAAACGGTTACATTTGGTATAAAGTGCGCCCCTTACTTAGCAATCCGAACTCTTCTAAAGCTAGCCGATGATGTCCAAGAAACCCACCCATTAGCATCTAACATTTTACGAAATGAAATGTATGTGGACGACGTCTTAACAGGAACCCATGAGCTATCAACTGCTAAACAAGCACGAGATGAACTCACTTCTGCTTTAGAGTCCGCGGGATTCGCCTTACGAAAATGGACCTCCAATGACCCAGAAATATTAGCAGAGTTGCCCCAAGGACATCGACTCGATACCGAGTTACTCAACTTACCCGAGTTCGACAACACCAAAACCCTAGGTATTCGTTGGAACTCCAAGATAAATTCATTCTTTTTTCTCGTCAACCCAATCGAGAAGAAACCCGCATACACAAAAAAGGGAAATTTTATCAACCATAGCTAAATTGTTTGATCCCGCCGGCTGGCTCAGCCCAATAATAATAACGGCAAAAATTATTATGCAACAAGTATGGCTTGATAAATCTGACTGGGACGAAAGTCTTAAGCCACTTACCCTTCATCGATGGCTTAGTTTCGTAAAGGAGTACGAAACGTTAAACAAGATTGAAATACCCAGATGGACCCACTTCACTCCATCAACCACCATTGAATTCCATGGATTTTCTGATGCCTCCGAGAAAGCTTATGCAGCAACTCTCTATATTCGAGTTAAAATGGAAACCAAAGTATGGACCACCATGTTAGTTTCGAAGACGAGAGTTGCCCCAATTAAGTGTATATCATTGCCAAGATTAGAACTCTGTGGAGCCGTTCTGCTAGCTAATCTTGTCGACTCTACACTCTCCCAACTACATCTGACCCAGTATCAGACCTATTTTTGGACGGACTCAACGATAGTCCTATCGTGGTTAAAGAAGCCACCATGTTCCTGGACTACTTTCGTATCTCATAGAATCACCACAATCACGGAAAATGTCGGAATTAATAAATGGCGCCATGTCGAAAGTCGTGATAATCCCGCTGATCTGTCAAGTCGAGGTTGTACGCCCACGGAACTTTTAAATAGCGAACTCTGGTGGCACGGACCCAAATGGCTAAAGCTCGAGCGAGAACAGTGGCCAACAACTCAAAAACCCTACAGCACAACCCTTGAAGCCAAACCTGTAAAGACTTTCGCAATAACAACCCAAGAGGACATCCATGAAAGATTCTCCTCACTACCCAAAGCCATTCGTGTAATTGCGTATTTATTCAGGTTTTGCTCAAATGCATCACCCAGGAGACGTGAAACGCACTACCCAAGCCGAGAAATAACTCCTAACGAATTTAAAGCGACACGAATGAAGCTGATTATTTTGACCCAACAAACTCATTTCACGGACAAATATGACGCTTTGACCCGAAAGTCCCAAATACCCAAGAAAAGTTCACTACTGACACTTAAACCATCAATTGATCCTAATGGAATGATGCGAGTTGATGGCCGATTAAGCAATTCCGCGGCATTATCATACAACGAGCGTCATCCGATTTTATTACCCTATAGCAGCCATATGGCAAAGCTCCTGGCCAGATTTACTCACTCAATAACCCTACATGGTGGAAATCAACTAGTTTTGCGACTCATTCGAACAGAATTCTGGGTTCCAAGGTTAAAGACCCTCATAAAAGCAATGATCCATAACTGCAAAACTTGTATATTGCACAAGAAAGAACACCAAACACAAATAATGGCAGCACTTCCAGCGGAGAGGACAACCCTAACCCGTCCATTTGCCGCCACAAGAATTGATTTCGCTGGACCCTATGACATCAAGAATTACAATGGAAGAGCATGTCTAATAACCAAAGGTTACATCTGTGTATTTGTTTGCTTCGCAACCAAAGCAATACACCTCGAACCCGTTAGCGATCTTACGACACAAGCGTTTATGGCGGCATTCGCGCGTTTCTTTTCCAGGCGCGGATGCCCCGCCGATCTTTACTCAGACAACGGAACGAACTTCGTAGGAGCTTCACAATTATTAGCCAAAGATCGACGAGAATTTGTAAAAATCCTTAAAACCGAAGTCACAGCCAGTTATACCCATCAAAACGTCAACTGACACTTCAACCCTCCCGGAGCTCCACATATGGGTGGACTATGGGAAGCCGGAGTAAAAAGTTTGAAAACTCATTTAAAAAAGGTATCAAAAATCCAGAAATTCACCTTTGAAGAACTAGCTACCCTACTTATNAAACTCATTTAAAAAAGGTATCAAAAATCCAGAAATTCACCTTTGAAGAATTAGCTACCCTACTTACCCGCATCGAGAGTTGCTTAAACTCACGTCCATTGAGCCCTTCAAGCGATGATCCAACTAATTTGGAACCTATAACCCCAGGACACTTCCTTATAGGTGCCCCGTTACTCACCCCTGCCGAACCCAACTTGGACGACGAAAATTTAAGCATCGCAAACAGATGGCAGAATTTAAAAATACTCCACCAGCATTTCTGTAAAAGATGGAAGGAGGAATACTTAAGGGAACTCCACAAGCGATATAAGTGGAAATACCCTCAACGAAACATTGAAGTGGGTGACTTAGTCGTCATTAGAAATGAAAACTTACCCCCAAACGAATGGAAACTAGGCCGAATCGAGAAGGCCTATTTCAGTTCGGACAACAAAACCCGGGTGGTCGAAATTCGCACCGCTCAAGGCATTACAACCCGCCCATCACAAAAGTCGTGATATTGAACACCCATTAACCTATAAGTTTTCTTTCTTTGTAGAAAAATGGCACCAACTAACGTTTCCCGGAACTCCGCAGCAAACAGCAGCACTCGGCGAAGCAGCCCAACCTCCACCATCCGCTGCCTAAGCATGACCCGCAGCATTTCACCTATATCGGATATAGAAACCCTCTCTAAGCGTGCACAACGCTTCCGTGCAACCCTTTCTCCTATACGTGAGGAAAAGGAAAGTGGTATCCATCGCACGGCCCGACCCAAAATCACTCACACTCGTCACCATAAGTACGACCCACACCGCCATGTAGCATGCGGTTTATGCAAGAAGGACCATCGCTTGGTGACTTGCACAAAGTATACTAACATGAATATTCATGAGAAGTACAACGCAGTCATCAAGACCCACTATTGCAGAAATTGCTTGGCCAGGTCACACAAACACACAAAAATGCACAAGTGAGAAGAGGTGTTCGACGTGCAATGGAAAACACCATTCTTCCCTTCACGGCCGCCCAAGATTCAACACCGAGGTGGATACAAAACACCAGAAAAAAGAAAAAACTCACGCTCCACCAGTTAATACTAAAATACCGTCATTACTGGCCAAGCAGACCCTAATACCGACGGAAATCGTTCGGCTCAAGCATGCCGGCATATGGCATAAGGTTCGAGCCTTAATAAACCCGACCCAAAAATTGACAACCGTTGCAGACGAGCTGGTGAGAAAGCTATCATTGCCGATCACATTCCTCAACGCTCATCGTATATGCAACATGCACTAACGGATAACAAATTTCGCATCGAGTGTAACAGTTTGATCACTAAGGATCTACCCAAACAGCCGTAAGCAAAAACCCGATTCGATCACTTAGTCCTCGCTGACCCCAAGTTCACGTCCAATGGGAACCTCAATTTGGAATTAGGAGCCGACGTTTACCCACTCATCCTCAGAAGCGGAGTGTTTAATCCGGACAATGGCATGGTCGTAGCCCAGAACACAGCATTTGGTTGGACCCTAACTGGCACTATATAAAATAGCCCAATCTACCCTAAGTATACTTCGCTACTGAAAATTTCCCAATTTAAATCAACTGAGTTATATGTCTATCCACCCCACTAATTTCTATTTTATTCGCAGATTTTGCTAGGTGGCCGGGATGTTTATTCCAAATAAACACATCCCTGCATTATGCTCCTGAACTCCGAAAAGCGAAGGAAGGATAATGCAGGAATGAAAAACCGCGCCAACTTAACTCCAAGAAAGACAGTTTTTATAAAACTACCCGCGCATCAACACGCAAGCGATAGCAGCCTCAATAGAAGACAGCAACAACAATCAATAACATATACAACACGGAAAACATAACGTTAAACAGGTCAATATAAATAAAACCTAACTAACTCAAATACAATAAATACACACATAACACAATTAACCTCATTGTACATATACCCACACATATATTGTATTTTTTACACACCACCTACTATATCTAAACACACTGAAGTGTTACCCTTTGAATTCTAAATTAAAGATTATTGTTTATAACGATTATATAAAACCCACTTCTTTTCTTTATTCGGAATCGGACACGAATTGTCGACATACCCCGACAGAAAGAATAACATTTCTGGTTTGTGCGAATGCAGAAGGGACAAAAAGGATAGAACCTTTCGTCATTGGGAAAGCGCAAAACCCAAGATCATTTCGCAACAAGATTTTGCCGGTTAAATATGATAGCTCGAAATCTGCATGGATGAATGCTGCAATGTTTAAGAAGTGGTTTTTTTGAATTTTTGCTCCAGAGGTATGTTAAATTTTGCATTTATGAAGCCATAAATTGCATTATAAATCATCTAAACTCATTTTCAGGTGGAACGTTTCCTAGAAGATAAAATGCTTCCCAAGAACGCGCTTTTGTTGTTGGATACCGCGCCAAGTCACCCGCCTGCCGATCAGTTGGTAAAAGAGACCGAAGACGGAAAAATTTGGGGCATGTATTTTCCACCAAATGTCACTCCATTGATCCAGCACATGGATCAGAATGCGATTAGACTATTAAAACTCCATTATCGCACCAGCTTGTTGTCAATGGTTGTGACCTCAGTGGAAAGTCTTGAAACGTGCCTTAAGCAAACCAACTTATTCCAAGCTGTCTCTTTACTTGCATTGGCGTGGAAGAAAGTATCCCAAGAATCATTAAAAAAATGCTGGAACAGAATTTTTAATGACGACGGATTCGACAAAGAGGACGATGTTCCTCTTTCCATACTTCAGCAAAGTGAGGAAAACCTCGCGACCAGAAACTCTTTACGTTTATTAGAGCGTGCGTTTCCAAATGTAGAGTTCGATGTCAACGATGTGGCCGAGTGGAATAATGAGAATATCATCGACGATATACAGACGTTTAATGACCATGACGAAGAAGAAACAATTGTGGCTCCAGCCGAAACGCCAAAGGTAAATCATGTGGATGCAATAAACTGTTTTCAAACATGTATTCAGTGGGCTGTTGAAAACCAGATTGACTGTTCCAAAACCCTTTTACTGAGAAGCAGTGTTGCCAGAACTTTCTGGACCAACCGGCTAAATTGGCAAAAAAACCGACTAAACTGTTTCAACTAAATTTCACATGTTTTATTTAAATAAATCATAAGTAGAAAGACTAGTTCTTGGAGAGAAGTTGCAAATTCAAGCTGGAAAAAATTTTGGCGCCAAGAATTTGCAATTAGGAAAAACATATGATTGTGGCACGTGGTTGCATTTTTTGTCGACAATAATTTGAATAAACAGGTTCGCCAAATTTAAAAATTTACAAACTTGAGCAATTTTAAAATGAAAAATTTAAGTAAATACTTGTTTACTTAATTAGTTTAGTTAATTCCAATGATTTGAAACGTACTCGTAATGCAATCTCAACCCGAGTCGATATAGGAAACGCGACAGTTAGTACGGCAAAGAAATGGAAACGTATGTTGAAGAAAGTCGGACTAGCAAGAAATATACATGTAGATCCTGTTTTTTTGTCCCTCTGAAAGAATTTTAAAATTCTATACAAATTTCTTATGTTTTAAATGCAAGTTCCTGCAAATTTGCGTTCGTGTAGAAATTTGCAAGTTTCTCTACTTGAGAGAGAATTTGAGAGCATTTTTTCTTACTAACTGATATTTTGAGTGATAATATTCGCTGGATTTTCGACGGACAAACCTATTGTCTTCCTAGAGAGGTTTGCTTTACATTTTGTGCTCTTTTACTTTCATTTTGAGGCATTTCAGTGTTGTAATTTAAATTCAAGTTGGCCTTCGGTTTTTGGAATTTAAATAAGTTCGCAGGAAAAAAAGTTAGTTTAAATAAGTCCATATGTGTACATAGTGCTTGAAAATATACATTTTCCCTTGCCTTAAAACTTTAAGCGTGGGCAACAATGATGTTTTGTAATTAAGGCAGAATTGTATATGCGCTATCTGGGAAGACAATACCTGTAAGATTTATTCTTGGGAGTATGTCCAAACACAAATGCGCGTTAAGCAAACAGTGAAACAATTTGTTATTTTCTAAGTTTGCGAATAAAACTTTACACTTCAATTTAAGTCATTGATAACACACATTTTATGAAGAAAATCCCCGTTGCGGCCTTCTTTAGAAAAAAATATTCGTTTAAAATAAAAATAAGCGAAATCGGCCCAATTTTATATAACCCTGCCTCCACGATAACACTAGTAGCCATTTCTAACAGATTTTGGATCGTTTAGTCAAAAATGGAAACATATATACATTTGAATTTTAAGAAAACAAGGTAAATAGCAAAATCGGCTAATTTTTTTACAAAACGGATAAAAAATCAGCTTCCGGCTAAACCGAAATTTCTCCGGCTGTTTGCTATTGCAACCGGCTAAATCTAGCCGGAAAACGGCTAAAATGGCAACGCTGCTGAGAAGCCTNCAAGAAGAGGCTATGCAAATGAGTTTGCAGATCAATAAACGTCAGAGCTTAATGACGGAGTTTCTAGTAGACTGATGTTCTACGGTAATTTGGTACAAACATTTATTTTAACCTTTTGATATATGTACGAATGGAAAAATGTGTACAAGTTTATGTTTTGATTTTGTTATTTTAAGAAAATAAAAAATAATTTGAATTTTTACATAAATTTATTTACTTTTTTATTGCAAAATATTCGTTGCGATTATACGATTTTTTCGATTTTACGAATAGTTCTGACATTATATAATTCGTATTATTAGACGTCGACTGTATTTGAATTGTTAAAAACTTAAAAAAAGCAACCGGCTGGTTCGATATAAATTAATGGCGTTTTCTTTTTACTGCATATTTATATATAAATTATTAGAATGGAAATCTCCAATGTATTTATATGAGAAGCTAAATCCAACAAAATCCAGTAGACGCCACAACCTGATAGTCCCAAAATACACATATCTAGCCTCATCGAGATTGTTCTTCATCAACGCTGTGAGACTCTGGAACAATATCCCCGAGTCCGTTAAATCTATACTGAATAGGAGTAACTACAAGGCGATAATACTTAATTACTTCAAGTCTATGTAGTGAGTACGATTGTAATAAATAATTTGCCTTTCTTTCCTCTCTTCTCTTCATTTACCTTCTCTGGTAGTCTTCATATTTTATTTTATTTTAAGAAAAAATGTAAAAAAAAAATTCACGTATAAGTGATTCTTCTTTTTAGTTGTAAGCGCACTTAATTTTAGTTTTAGTTCAATTCAATAATATGTTACTTAATTAAGTTCATGTACTATTAAAAGATTATTGTCTTACATGTACAACCACTATAGTTAAAAAAACTTTAACCTCCCTATTATAATTGCCATTCGCACTGTAGGTATGTAACTTGAGAATAGAAATCGCTGCATCCTTTAGGCGCATCAATATTACATAGTTACATCCCGAGCTAATAAAAGGAAGGTAAAAAAATGGGAATGCAGCATTGCTGTAGGCATGCTTATATATTAAGCTTTGTAGTTACATACGTATGTTAAACTAAAATAGCGAAAGCGTACAAACAAATATGTATACGTGTTATTGCAAAAGGAAACATAGCGGAAGCATGTGTGTGTAAATGCAAGTAAAAAAAATGTAAGTACATATCGTCGTTTAAAGTGCAAAACCGCGTATCAACAAAATGCAAAACCGCGTATCAGCAAAATGTAAAACCGCGTATGTGAAGTTGTAGAAATTATTTTCTAGAGCGTAAAAACACTCAAATTGGTTCTCTCTTTTAAAAAGCAATCGCATTTCTGGATAGTAGTAGTTTTGGCAGCCAATGTCAGTTACGCGGTTTTGCAGAATGACGATACGCGGTTTTGTACTTTAAACGACGATATGTATATAGGCAAATGTAAGCACACAATATAGTGGGAGAATATCACTAAGTAGGTCAAGGCAATATTTAAAGCAAACGCAACTTTTAATTGCATTGAGGTGAATGAACTAAGCATACCTGACCTTGAATATTGTAAGCATATACATAATAAAATATAAAATAACATATGATTTAAAATGCAGCGGCTGCCAATCGGTGACCCAACATTTCAAACTGGTAAAATTGGTAGCTTGTGGATGGGGCGCCGAATAATTCCCTTATTCTCTTGAATCCTTTCCTGGTATGCATTTGAATATTCTTCCCATATGCCATTTATGGGGTGGAAGGTTACCTTCGTGGATGATAACTAAGGTGTTGTTGCTGATGTTTGGGCGATCTGAAAACCATTTTGAGCGTACTTGCAATTCGTTGATATACTCATGTGACCACCGCTTCCAAAATGTTTGTTTAATGCCTGTTATTTTGCCCATTGGTGTAGGTGCTTATATTTGGAGAAACGTTTCGCTCTGGAAGAGCTTTCAGAGCCCCGCCAATGAGAAAGTGACCTGGAGTTAAAGCTTCGTAGTCATTCGGATCGGATGACAATGGAGCTATTGGCCGAGAGTTCATTGCCGCTTCGATTTCCAACAAGGCCGTCGAGAGTTCTTCATAGGTAAGTCGTGAGTTGGAAATGCTGCGATTTAGATGCCTCTTTGCTGATTTCACCGCCGCTTCCCAAATACCGCCGAAATGAGGTGATCTAGGAGGAATAAAATTGAAAATAACGAATTCGTTAGCACAATACGCCACAATGGTATCTTGATTTTCACGATTAAATAAAAATGCCTTTAATTCAGCAAGTTTATTACACGCGCCAACGAAATTTGTCGCGGTGTCCCAAAATATGTCTGAACGCATCTGTAGATAGATTGGAAACAATTTCAATGTATACTGGCAATGTGTACGCTAAACAATCGAAAATTGCAATGCACGCCTTGTAGGGCGTCTTGCCTCTAATTCGTAGGTACACATCAACTGGTCCGCAAATATCAACACTGCAGCGGGCGAAAGGGTGTGATGGGGTCAATCGCTCAACTGGTAGGTTT